GAATAGCGTCCCAAGTTAACATGGAGAGCTTTCTCTCCAGGTTCCTTGTATATAGACGAGCTGCACGAGCCAAACACTTCAAGTGATCTCCCGGGCTTGTCTGGTGTTTTTTCCTTCAACTCTTCCTCCTCAGCTGTCAAATTTTTTGCCCTGGAATTGGGAACCTGGACTGCAAAATGGTCGACCCTTTTTGATCTAGTTCGAGTGGGCTTTGATTCACAGATTGTTCCAGGCATGACAATTTCATTAACATGAACAGATTTCTTATCGAAACAAGGTCCCTGGCAAAAATGACCAGCAAAAAATTCCTCCCAAACGGCTTTTTTTGCTTTGTTTGAGATTCAATTCTGCGCGTATTCTGCAACAACGCATTTTGGATGTTCATGCCACTTTCTTGAGAACAAAAACTTGGGTTTCTCGATCCTACTGTTGGCTCCTCTCTGACCTTATAATCCAGTTTCATGTCAAATACACCGATTTCACCATCTTTACTCTTGGTTCTTTCGAAACTTATTGGATATGGAGTCTCCTGTGGGAAACTGAAAGCTGGAGCTGGATCCTGAACTGGCACCGGGACCGCAAAAACAAAGTTCTCTCCAGCAGTATTGAGATAAGAAAATGAGTCCACCCTGAGACTTGCAAGGCTATCTTGGCTGAATGGTAACTTCTTAGTATCTTTTGCTGAGATTTGCACCAAGTTTTCTTTTGCGGTACTGTCAAGGTAACAAGAAAATGAGGCAACACGAAGACTCGTGTTATCTTCACTAGCCATGGATTTAGAACTTTGCGTTCTGAGGATGGCTCATAAGTAGCATAATATTGATATAGTACAGTATTAAGAAATAAAGAAGTTGAGTCCTATGCAATAGTAGAATAGGATGGGGAGAAACGAAAAATGAAGAAAATTTTCTTGATTGGCTTTATAAAAGCTGTTGGTATAAAATAGAATGGCTGGGGATACACAAGAAGACATAAATATATATTGAATGTTTGGTATAGGACAGATTTCATTTTTACATTCTCACATGACATGCCAGTTTGTTTTTTAGGGTTAAAGATTCATTGGTCAACTAAGGACGGTTTTGTCGACTTTGGCTGGTTAAGGAGCTCGACCACTTTTGCCCTGATATTGTGCTTTCCCGAGCATGCTTCTGTATTAAACTCGATCTTCTTATGAGTTTAACTTGAGTTCGGTTTTGAACAACTAAATTTGGTCCCAATCTTCTATCTACATCGGTTTGGCGGACCTGAAGACCCAAATTAATTTTTGTTTTCCAATTTTTCATCTCCACGTCTTTCCATTTAAAATTTTTAGCTTGGACAATATGCAGGTAGAAAATGTCATTATTGGCAATAGAATTTTGGGTGTGATTCATATTTAATACATTCTCTTCTATTTAGGAATTTACATTTAATGAAGTTCTTAAATTTTGGCGAAACTAGTAGATAAAAAAGTGTGTTTTGGTACGCTTCAAGATCTACCATTCATTCAATCTAATGAACCCCAAAGTAGGGACAATTTCCAATGCATCTTTGTCCTATGCTTAAACAATATACTTATAAGTAAAAACAATTAAAATAAATGATACATTTTGTGGGTCAAAGCTAGTATGTTACATATGTTGTGTCGCGGAAATCCTTCACCTAATAGAACTGATAAAAGTATCTCTCTCACACTCCATATGATTAGGTCTTTCACATCTCTAGATATTTAATCACATCTCCACTCGTGATCCAAACGTCACACTCCACACCCCAGGTGCTGATGTACCCCAACCCGCTATGCATGCAACCAATTACATCAAGTAATCAAATTGCTCTCAAATTCATGCAAATGCACATATCAAACATGTTGAATTGTAACATATAACCATGCAATAGAATTAAGTAATCACACACATATAGAATGGATTACACACAGATGTACATGCAGTAACTAGATTTAATTCTCAATAAAACTCACTAGGGTCATCACTTGACCCTATAGTTACATTCGCATCGCCTCTCATTTTACCATTTTGCTTATCCTTCTTTTTAGGACAATCCTTAGTAGAATGTGCAGACTTACCACAACCATAACACCGTCTACTACTAGACTTATCTCATCCCTTGCTCTTTTTCTTACAACCCTCATCACTCGAGTCACTACAGTCTTAAGCTCTAACCAAATCCATCTACTTGAATTTCATTCTACTCTTCATCATATGTATCTCACCACTCCTCTTATCATCTTTCTCAACGTTAAGCTCCATCTCCTTACTTCTAAGAGAATAAATGACAATCTCAGATGTTAAGTTGTCCCTATTATATTTAATCGCATTATTAACCTCTCAATATGAATTAGGCATAGAATTAAGAAAAATAATGGTCTTATACTTTTGGGACACTTTTTCATCACAATTAATAATGTCTTGAACCAGTTTGTTCAAAATATCCAAATTGTCATCAAGATCCTTTAAGTGATCCTTTTGAAATTGAAAAACCTTTCAAGCAAGTACAATTTATTAGGAGTAAATTTAAGCAAACATAAGTCCTTCAACTTTTTTCAAAGTTCTTTTACAGAATCAAGTTTTTCAACTTTTTTCAAAATGGTATCTGACTCGTATAATATAATTGAAGTGTAAGAAAGTTGATGATATTCTTCTTTTTGTGCTTCCGTCAAATTTGTAGAAAATTTATCATTTATGGCTTTTGAAACTTTTTGTTGAACCAAAATCCCCTTCATCTTTGTTGCCAAATTGAAAAATTCTATTTTTCTATTGAAAATTTTAACTTCGAAATGTGAAGACATTTCGAAAAAACAGAACAATTAAAGTGCACGAATAGATCACACAAAGTAATCCTAAGGGTGCAATATACACCGTTCTAGATTTTCAGGGTTTCCTGATATTCATGATCTCAGTATCAAGAGAATAGTCAAATGGGTCAAGTCCAAGTGTTTTAATAGAATAAGCAATGCAACACGAAGGTATGCCAACAAATTCAATTTCTCACACATTGAAGGCAATTAAACACGGAAGCAATTATGAGCTTGCATTTAAATCTAAGACTTCAAATAGAGCAAGTAATTCCTAAATTTCTACCACAAGATCCTAATGTCACCCCCATACGATAACTTGCTAATGCTGAAATTTAAAAAGGATAAACCAAAATATCAGAGAAGACCAATTTGAGTTCGTAAACAATGAGATATGCAAATTTACCACTTTAGGGCCACTACTATTTGCCCTAATATCTTCGGCAATCATGACCACTAATCAAGCAAAAGTCAAATCTCGAACGCTCGGGGGTAAATCGTCCAAATTACACAGCAATACTTAAAACTGAAAACGAACACTGCCGCAGGGTCTGTCTCATCATCGGGAGAAAACTGTCTAAAAAGACCATCGCCAGAGAAGGCCTCACACGCGTGATCACCAGAGTTCCATGCCCCAGCAGTCATGCACCGCAGCCGCCGATCACACGACATTCCCCAGTTGTGCCTCAGTCCGCTGAACACGCTGGTGGTCTTGTTTTCTCCAATCGGCCACTGGTTTGGTTGGAAAACACAAAAACAAGTCCGAATTTGAGTGATGAAGAAGAATCATAGAGATTTCGTTGTTCTGTAGATTGATTCATGTACATCTTGAAGATTCTAAGATTGCAATGACAAATTATAATAGCAATGATAGCAATTTGCTCGAAAGCAGTCTAGGAACAAAGAATTTTTTTCGGAAACTGTTCAAGGATTGTGACCGTTCAGTGGAGGATTCTGAACTTTATGGTCTAAAGAATAGCACAGTAGTGAGTTCTTAAATTATGCTATTTTGTGTTGATAAGTTTGAGAAGTCCTGCAGTTTTAATTTATATAAATGCTTATTAATGCTTACCAATATCGTCTAACTTTCTGCATTTAAACATCATCTAAATGTTATTTCGGTCTCATTTCTTTTCTTTTGATATGCTTCAATTTTAAGTGTATGTTTGTCAAAAAAAAATAGTAGTTAGCAGCTGTATCATCATTAAATTCATAACCAAAAACTCGACGTTCAACATCGATAAATTGTGCCCGCAGTGAGTTAGTTTCATGACTCCGCCCCTGAAAACATATATTAATGTCTAATCTTTTTGTATGATTTTAAGTGATGATTGGTAAGGGAAATGAGCAAATTACAGGACTCTCTTCTCTAACCTTTCTATCCTTGCTGATTTTTGTGCAACTTTACAAATAAGAAGAAAAAGAAAAATGCTACACATATCACAAGCTATCAGGTGTAGCTACTAACATTGAACATATAATCTTGACTCTCGGATTCGATCGAATCTACAGCAACAGTTGAAGAATAACTTCTAATTCCAAATAATGATTTCAATATCTCTTCTCAACTATTATGTAATATCTCAAAATTTGCGTCTAGCTCTCAAAAATGCGAAACACTCACCCACCTATTCACGATTATATGCAACAATACATTACACAAACATGTCACTTTATATGTATCATCTAAGTGTATAAAACCCATATTCACCCATGATACATTTTCAAAGAAAAAACGAAATAACATTATAAAACAAAGACCATAGATTGGATTGGATTCTTACATAATATTAAAATCTTGAGGACCCAAATGGATCAAAGATTTTTGTATTTTTATTTTTTATTTTTATAATCTCATGTACATCAATTGTTTTTGGAAAGAATAATGCTACTTGTACATAAGGAGTTACATAATGGTTTACTTCCAGATGAGGTGTAAAAAAAAGAGTGAAGAAGTTAGTTGTTTGAAATTTTTTTGACCAAATCATATCTCATAACATCATGTGTATGTAAATCATTATGTGCATGTAGCACAACCATTTTGGAAATGGATATATGGATGAGAAGTTGGAAGGTGATTGTACTCTTAATCTCAAAAGGGTCATTTGGACATGGCAAATCCGATCGATGTTGTAATTACGATTAGAGTAATATTGCACTTTGTTCTTCTTAAAATTTCTTAAAATGTTTACTTCGTAAATCGTAACCCAAAATTGTTAGTAGTTTAGTTCATTTGCTCACACCATATTTCTTAAATGTGCACGAGTTGAAGAGAAAAAAAAATCTCGAAAGAGTTCATAACATTTATTAATATAAAACTTTGGTTGAACAAGTTGAAAACTTAAAATTATTGAAGGATATTAATTGAACACAATTTAGTAATAGCAAAGCCTACATACTATGTCTAGGGATTGCAAAAAAATCCGACAAACCCGATACCAGCGAGCCCCTCCCCGAACGGGGCGAGGATATCCCGCTTAATCGGATATTCGAGGCGGGGACGGGGTGGGGAATTTTGCCCTGGGGCGGGGAACCTGTCCCACCCTGTTAATTTTTTTTTTTAGAATTCAATACTTTAAATGAAAATTTTCATTAGTTCTAATAGAAAATAGCAACTAAAATTATTTGTCTAAATCTAATGAATATGGACAATAAAAATAAATTATCAAAAACTAAAAAAAAAATTAAACGGGTAGTAAACGGGGAAAGGACCCCACCCGGCCTTGCCCCGACCCGACCCGACCCCGCCTTAAACGGGTAACGTGGCAGGAAATTTCTTAGCGGGACGGGAAGGGCCACCCCACCCTGCCCCGTTGTCATCCCTAACTATGTCACACAAATAAATATCAAGCATTGTCTTGTAAATCTAGTAGTAATTAAAATTATGGGATGTGTGGATGGGTTTCGTAGATACGAGTTCGAAAACCTCTACAATTGAGTCCAAAATAGGTTGACTCAAAGCAGGGTGCTGCACAAGGTGGTCATTAATAATGGATCGAACGACCAAAACTAGACAAATCGATATATTTCAAATTTCAATGAATCTAAAATGTGTTAATCGAGCATATTTTCAATATTTTTCACTTTTCTGGTCAATACTCGAATTGGTATTTAACCCTTGTTTGATAACCATTATTTAAAAAAATGGACTTTTGTAATTTTTTGAAAAATGTGTGATCAAAAAATAGAAAAAAAATTGGGTCTACATACAAAATATTTTATTAGGTAAATGTGTAGTTGAAAATTAGTATAAAATTTTTTTAAAAAATTAAAGAAAGACAAAAAGTCTTGAAGAAAAACACACTTCGTATCTCCCTTGTATAAGACTGGACAAAACTCCCGAACCGAACGGTTCTTCATAAGTTAAATACCCGAACGAGTATCTGAATCGAGAACCGATGGGTTTGGTTCGATTTTCGATTTTAGACCTAGAATTGAATCTAAATAATTTTTTTAATTTTTTATATTGAATTAATTAAATTATTTTAATTTTTTCTAACCAAATTAGCAAATTAGCTAATTTAGTGATTAATGCTTCAACTCCCAAATTAAGTCCATGTCTAGCTAGCCCAACTCAACCCAATTTCTAAATTCAATTTTTGGCTCAATTATTAATTTCATTGTTAGCCCAAAATCTAGGCATTTTTAAATTTTTATCCTTCCCTTTTCAATTTCATACTTTCATTCAATATATTCGATCATTTCCTTCTCGATTGATGAAATTTAAATGTTGTATTGAAATGGAAAAGATTGTATGCAAAAAACTAACTATTTTAGATGTTTCTACTAGATGGAATTCAACATTCTTAATGTTAGATAGTGCATTTAATTTGTAAAAGTTACGAATGAACATGTCATTCGTTGTATTTCTGTAGTATTGCTGAGCATCTCCTTCACGGTTGATGTAATTTAAATTTTGTATTGAAAGGGAAAATATTGCGTGCAAAAAACTTGTTGTTTTAGATGTGCCTACTAGAGGGAATTCAACATTCTTAATGTTAGATAGTGCATTTAATTTGTAAAAGCTATGAATGAACATGTCATTAGTTGTATTTATATAGTATTATTGTAAATGTTAAAAAAATTTAATTATGGTACGGAACCGAATAAAATCGAATCGAACCGAACCAAATCCGAACGGTTCCATAATTATATTTGGACCTGATGGTTCCATTTATTAAATACCCGATAATTTTGATTCGATTCGATTCTAAAGAGAATCGAATCGAATCGAATCGGATCATATCCAGCCCTACCCTTGTATATAAAAAGTGATGAAAAAGAAAGAGTGAAGCCTCTTTCATTCATACCCCATGCAAATCCAAAGATTAGCCCCATTCCTCCACCAAATACCCAAAAATCTCATCTCCTCTCGCCACCTTCTCCAACTCCACTCTCAACTCATCACCACCGGTCTCCACCACCATCACCGCGGCTCAACTCTCCTCTCCCTCCTCCATCTCTACCTCTCTAACCCTTCAACCCTCCCCCATGCAACCATCCTTTTCCACCAAATCCAAGAACCCAAAACCTGCTCTCTGAAATGGAATCTCATGATCAGACACGCCTCAAATACTAACCCATTAAAGGCACTATCTTTATTCCAAGAAATGTTATCCACAAGTGCGAAAAATTCCAATGAGAAATCCCATTTACAATTTTTCAACGATCCTTTTATTTATGCATCTTTGATTAAAGCTTGTAACAAAGCTCAGGCTTTTCGTGAGGGTAAGTCAATACACTGTTATATTGTGAAGCTTGGCCTGGATTATAATGTGAATATATTGAACAGTCTTTTGAGTTTTTACATGGGTTTTGTTAATTTAATGAGTTATGCCGATGTAATGTTTGATAGAATGTCTGAGAGAAGTGTTGTTACAGTTAATAGTATGATATCTGGGCATGTAAAAAGAGGAAATCTTGAAGTGGGTTTGAGTTTGTTTATTAAAATGTTGAGGGGTTGTTTTGGTACGAATGTAGAGCCTAATTATGTTAGTTATGTTATTTTGTTATCTGGTTGTGTTGATTTTGGGGAGCTCAGTATTGGAAATGCACTTTACTGCTGTTGCTGCAAAGCTGGATTGGATTTGAATGTTGAGATATGCAATGTGCTTATTGATTTGTATGCTAAGTTAGGATGCATTTATGATGCTTTGGGAGTGTTTAATAACATGCCTCACAAGGATTTGATTTCATGGAATACTATGATTTCAATGTATGCTAATAATGGAGATTGTATGAAAGCTTTAGCATTGTTCAAAGAAATGAGGAGTAAGAAAATAGAAGCTGATAGAGTTTCCTATAGTAGCTTGGTATCAGCTTGTGCTTCTTCTCGATATCTCAAATTGGGGAGGTTGATCCATAGTCATGTAAAAGCTATGGGGATGGAGTATGATGTTTCGGTAGGAACAGCACTTATCAACATGTATGCAAAATGCAGAGAAGTCGAATCAGCAAGGAAACTTTTCGAGGAACTACCGAAGCAAAATATTGTTTCTTGGAACTCGATGATACATGCATATGTGGAAGGTGGACTTCCCTTTGAGGCTTTAAAGCTTTTTCACAGGATCAAGTCTAGAAACGTAGAACCAGATGAAGTGACATTTGTAGGATTAATTATGGCTTGTCGTGATTCTGGAGATCTGGATGAGGGTATTCGTATACATTCTTATCTAGGGAGTAACGATCAAGTTATAGAAAGTGTAATTTTGGGAAATGCTCTTATTGATATGTATGCAAAATGTGGGAGCATGGATAGGGCTAGAGCTGTTTTCAATACAATGCTAAAGAGAGATGTCGTCTCATGGACATCAATCATAGTTGGACATGCCATAAATGGTGAAGGAAAGAAATCTCTTGCTGCTTTTGAGCAGATGTGTGCTGAGAAAATTGATCCTAATCCTGTTACCTTCATTGGTGTTCTGTCAGCATGTAACCATGCTGGTTTGATTGATGATGGTAAACATTTGTATGATATTATGCGTAAAGTTTTCAATATTGAACCTGGAATTGAGCATCTTGGATGTGTGGTTGACATGCTTGCAAGAGCTGGAAGAATTGAGGAGGCTCGTCAATTTCTTGGAGAAATGCCTCTAGAATCGAAAACACCTGTTTGGAGAATGTTGATGAATGGTTGTAGAATTCATGGCAATATCGGTCTAGGCTTGAACTTGGTTAGCTGCATAACAGAAAACAAATCCCAAGGTTCTGAAGATCATGTAATTCTCTCTAATGCCTTTGCTGAAGCTGGAAAATGGGATGATGTTATTTGCCGCAGAAGCCTCATGCTAGTTGAGAAAGCTTGGAAAGTTGCAGGAAGTTCTGTTTATTTGCAATAGAGTGATGTCCAACCATCATGATGAATCCAACATTAACATAAGCTTCTACTCTTCGGATATGTTTGATACATAGTATTGGATGATACAGCAAAAATCCAAATATGGAGATCCTCCTTGGTAAGGAGCTTGTGGGTCGAAGACTAAAGGAGATAGTTGGAGATGGTATCTATAATTTTCTGCTAACCTAGACGTCTCTTGTAAAGATTAGCTGCTGCGTCTCAAAGTTGGCAGTCTAAATGTGGGAAAATTTTGTTAGTCAAATTCCTGTTAGAACATGTTTCTCAGGCACAATGCTACAAGTACAGGGGAGACACAATTTTTTTTTTTGCCAAATTCCAAGCGTCAACACTGCATTGGTCTGTTTTAATCTAATTTTTTTCCATCATCCAATCCAAGAACGCCACCTCCCCCTGTGAAACTCCTCTGTACGTATGGCTTTTATCTAAATTATTTGAGTAAATCTTAACTTGTTGAAAGATGTTTGACCACAAAGAATAAGCTGGAAAGGGCAGGGTGGGGTGGGGTGAACAGTGCTTTCTCCTTTTTTTTTTACTTAATTATTTCATTTTAGTTATTTTATATGTAAAATATAAAATTACATTTTTACCCTTCTAAAATTAGTCAACATTTGGTCAAACTTTTGATTTTTGGTCAATTAACGATCAAACTCACAGTTTTCATCCACTTGAACTCCAGCTGCGACATTTTGTAATGTTCGGTACCGTGGGTAGCACAAATGAAATGTTTAGACAAAGTCTACTACTTAATGAAAGATTTGGTACCGCTGCTGTAATTTTCCCTCGGAAAAATGTAGTGTTAAAATCAATATATCAAAATATGTCAACTCATGGGTGTAAACCAATGTGTCCACCTTGGCGTACAAATAACATGGTTGAACAAAGAAAAGGCAAAGCAATTCAACCACATAATCGGTGAAAAAACCAACTTACGAGTTTGCTAAACAAGCTCAATGGAAAAATATTACTCCAAATAGAAAGGCAAAGACACGGCATTCACACTTTCGAGCCACATGCAAGAGTAGTTTTCTTCTAGTTTATGTTGGAGGGTTGAGAACAACATAGAAACGTGAATAAGGAGAACAGGTTCGTTACTTCAGGTCCCACTGACAGAATGCTCATGCAAGAACCGTCAATTGAAGCAGCATACAAACAGCCAGCAATCACAAAATTTCTAATTCATTGGTAATGTGTTGTACTCTCCCACTAATCTCCAAGCACAGACCACTGCCCAGGCCTATGTTTAAATTCTTCTCCTTAGAAGTATTCCTAGGACTTGGGTCTATAAAAATTGGTTGAATTCTGAGATTTGGGTTTGGTTTTATGCGAATCGCTTCTCTTTCCTCTGGTGGCCGGAGTAAAATACTGTTCTGCATTTCTTCAGAAGCTTCATCTTCATTCAAAAGCACCTGCAATGTTTTAAATGTTAAAATAGCCAAGCTAAAATTGAGAAATGTATACTTCGGGGGGCCTCTATCTTTAGTAACAGTCAAAAGATTGTTGCATATAAAAATAACTAGAACAAGGATGCACCTTAGAAATAAGTCTTTTACTATATTTGTACATTGGAAACAAAAGAGGTACGAGTCTCAAAAAATACAAGAGCAGGGTGGGAATGTACTTATAAGAAGCCAAAATATGGCTATGGGTAGAACCAAAAAAAAAAGGGTAGACTTTTGCCAAGAGAGGAGTAAAACAATACAAGGGCATAATCTTGCTGATATCTGAATGGAGTGCATCTGAATAAAGAATTACTGCAACATGATAAACCAAAAATGACAGGAGGGATTACGGTAACAAAATTTTAACCTTGCGGCCGAGCAGATCAAATGTCATAACTACTTTACTTCTTTTGGCCCTTTCAGCCTCTTCTAGCTCCTCCCTTTTCTTCAGCAGAAGTTCTTTCTCCTGTGACAAACAGAAGGTGGAGTATGTCAAAACTTGGATCCCACCAATAAATAAATAGCACAAGGACCTGTTTTCTTTTCTGTGAAGCTTGATGTGTTACAGGTAAACAGAATACAGACCTCGGCCGAAAGCCAACTATTTCCCTCAATAGCGTAGTAGTCACTTTGGTCGTCTATAACTGTTGTACGAGCTGCAGAGTTACGATCATAGTCAACAAGCCTCTTCGCATAAGCTTCAGCAGCTGCATCAGAATCTGATGCAGGCACAGCACCTTCATCCAGACCACCATATGTGCTTCCTTCCCTCAGCACAAGAGCACCACAAAAATTACAAGGTCCCTCACCTTCTTGCTCACAAACTATCTTCCCACAAGATAAACAGTTACTTACCAACTGGTGCCGACGGGCTTGGCATGAACAAGGCTTCCCCTGCTGAAATACAATTGAACCTTTTGCAGCATCTGCGAGAGAAACAACTTTTCCAGCCTTTTTCTTTCTGGAACTAACTTGATTTCCTTTCGGTATTTTTTGTGTTTCTGATGTCACATTTTTTATCGAATTTTCCTGTCCTGTGGATGGCATAGTCTCTTTTGGCGCTCTCTGTGATTTCTTAGCTGCTATGACAGGGCCTTCATCTGTACGTGGTTTAACATATGCATGTAAATTGGAAGTAGGAGTAGCTCGACTGCTGTTGCCAATAGTCACATGGCCTCTCCGCTTTAGGTACTCCTCAATTACACTTTCACCAGCTTCTTGGCCAATAATATTCTGCAGATAAAAATTTTAAAAATTAACTACGTAAAAACTTCCCAAGATAGGGTAAGAAAACACACACGTCTCTAGAAATGGAAACAAGTAGAAATTTTCAGTGTGTGCTTGTTTAAGAAATAAATAATGATATGTGAAGACAAAATGCATAGTTTTCAATAATGAGATTCCTATGTGTTCTTACAGTGCATTTGATTTAATAAATTAGTGTATATGATTATAAACTATGCCCTTGTTTGGCAAATTTAAAAAACATTGTTTTGAATAGTATTTTTTGGAGAATGTGTGGTTAAAAAGTAGGGAAATATTTTGGATTTACATATAGAATATTTTATTGTATGAATGTGTGGTTGAAAATGAGTATGAGAAATAAATTAAAGTAAAGGATGTCAAACGGGGGCTATGTTGATTAGGCTTGGGGTGAGTGTCTGATATATGTATATATCAAGTAGTCAGATCTTGTTTTCCCCCCTAATATCAACGGCTAAAAGGATCAAAACCAGGTAAATGGATATGTCTTATAAACTTCAAATTACTTTAGAAATCTATATACTAATAATTTTAGCCGCATTTTTTAGGGATAAATAGATTATACATTTTACTGTAAATCTAAAACAAGTTAAATTTCAAATTGCAATACTTCATTTAAATTTTATTTCAAGTCTAGAAATGTGAAATACAAATTAGAAATCATATCAAATACAATACTAAAATAACAAAAACGATATAAAACGATCCTCTTCTGATTTAAAGCATCCAAGAAGCATCTCATACCCTTGTCCTTGTCGTGTGTGTTCAACATAGGTCTAGAGTCCAAACAACAAAGATTATGAACATAGAAGAAAATTTCCAACTTTGCCAACAAGATAAGAAGTAATATAAACTAAAAGCATGCAAAACATTTTGATGGTTAAGAGACAGAGTATTGGTATCGCAAGGGCGTGAACATAGAAAGAAATACCAAACAATGAAGAAGGTAATGTTAAGCAGAAGGATGCACAGGAACATTATTTTTATAATATATGAATTTTCAAGACAAAAAATGAAAAATAATGTTCACTAGACACATCAAAATTTACCTAACTGAATGAAAAAAGACAATGCTTCAACCATGTGTTTGTCTGAGAAAATCATTAATAAGATTGTGTTTATATGTCTGCAAATTTATAATTGTAGTTCCTTTTGTGTATGAGAGGGACTGGAGAATGGTGAGAATTCGAAGGGTATATTTTCAAAGAAACACCGATGTTTTGAAACAGCCCTGGACACTTTCTAAAGGAAATTGTAGGTAACCAGCAGTCACATGAACTGAAAAGTTTCCTGTAACTGTAAACAAAATCAATTTTCTACTTATGTGCTCATTGTACACTAAGGCCCTGTTTGATTGTCACATTTTCCATGGAAAATTTCACATCCGAGGAAAACGAATTTCACTTTGACCGTTTGATTATAACGTAGAAATGGAAATCGAATTTCAAAGTACAACTACTTTAAGCTACATTTTCTTTGTTTTCATGAAAAACGAATTCTCATGGGTTTGGTGATTTTTTATTTTCCAACTAACATGGAATTGGAATTCTTTTCTACCTTTGCCTATCAAACGGACCCTAAATCTCATAGTCTGTCTTGCTGGCAATCTTTGGATCCAGTTCGTCTGGTCTGGAAGGAGTTCATTTATGACAAATTTCATTTTACATGTTTCTGTCCTTCCAAACTGGTTATGTTTACAGTTATCTACCTTTCCGCTCATTATCAACACAACACTTATGGTTTCAACTGTTCTAATCACCCAGAAATTCCTTATAACACTTCGTTGTGCAATTCTCGTATTATACTTGCTAAAAATGTACACATTTTGTATGTACATATTTTAGTGAATTAATTTATCTTGAGTTGAGGGCCCTTTGACACTCAATAATGTCTTTAGCATCAATATGCGCCTTATGGATCTGCATACAGCATAGGTGTTTATTTATCTAAATTGATGACAAGATACCCTTTATAGTATAAATTCAAATGACCGAAAAACAAAATTTCAACATAAAGTAGCCTTCTTTTTTTAAACATAATCCAAAATTTAAGCAGAATGTTATATATAGACTAAAACCACACAAGCTCCAAGTATATTGATAAAATTTAGAATTATGACTGTTATAATCAAATCCATGCCCATCAGACATACCCACCAACAAAAAAGCAATTTCATATAGTTCAATGCAAAATTCTAGTGTTTCTCAAGTATCATCAAATTCTAATTAGCATTTCCATGGCCCCTAAAATTACCCCGGATGCACCAATTAAAGGCCCAAAAATTGCAATACAAACTAAAACAATCATATCTCCATAAATTACCTTTAAAATCAATGAAATGCATAAGTAAGAAAACCCAGAAATCGGAAAAATCCACAAACGTAATACTAGAAAGCAGAAAGAGTAATAGTATGATTACATCAAGGTATTCTTTGGCATCAAGAGGCGAGGCCATTTCGCAATAAGAAACAAGGCCCGATATGATTTCCCCATCCAATTCTAGGCCCGTTTCCACCTTCTTGCATAATTCAAGCAGTGCCTTCTCTAACCATTTCCCCGAGGACTCCATCCCAATCGTCTTTCTCGCTCTACAAACACTCACAGCCCTTTCAGTTTTGTACAGTGTGTCTGTATATTCGTATGTGGGTATGTATATGTATGATATCTCTCTCCAACTCGAGCGAGACGCCAAAAGGCAGTGCACGTTTACAAGGGAAACAAATTTAGGGAAAATTACAGCAGAGTTCCCTAGTTTTTGCAAAAAAGTGTAAATGGTTCCCATTATTCAGCTTACACTTTACAAAATGCACCCCTCATTTTAAGTTGGGATCATACGTGTACACAATGGTGTACACACGATTTTGCACCCCCCTCACATGGAGAGGCCCACACACAATAAAATATTCGTCGACTGCTCTCCATGTGAGAGGGGTGTAAAGTTGTGTGTACACCTCATGGTGTACACATAGCATTTTTCTTTTAAGTTTTGGATCCAGCTAAATTCATGGGAGTCTTTGATTTCATCCCCCGACAATTTGAAAGAAGTAAAGTATGGAAAGTTTTAATTGATTTTTTTTTTTTTTTTTGGTATGCTTTTAGTGTTTTACGGATCCTCGTAATTCAAAAATACAATTTAAAATCAATTTACATGATTTATTGTTAACATAATTGAAATTTTAAATTGTCAATACCATTGGAAAAAAAGGAGCACTTACGGTAACATCTCTACTGACGAACCATTTCTACAGGAACCATAATTAAGTTTCTCGATGTAAGAGAACTTTACTTACGGTTTTCGACATTTCTAAATTGTTTAATTATAGAAATTAGAGATCTACACTTCTGGATTATTTAATTCAAATAATGGACCCCGAACATAAGCCCAGCCCCCTCGATCCACTCATATTTTAACAACTTATCTAAGTGGGCCAAAAGGCATAGTCCATATATCTCTTAACAAAATCTTAGACGGATCGAATTGGCCCCCATTGCCAGCACGCACAAGTACTGTCATCGACCACTTTACTAAAGTTTAAATCCTAATACCTTTATTTTGTTCTTGTTCATTTGTGTGTATAAAATTTAATTATGGTTCTCAATGTTTATGAATTATTTAATTAGAAAAATGAAAGATCTACGATTCCGAATTATTTAATTCAAAGAATGAACCCCGAACATACCCCGATTCGCTCATATTTTAACAACTGGCCCAAAAGGTAATTTCCACATCTCTCAAAAAAATCTTAGACGGACCCTGAACCTGCCCCCGTTGCCAACGCAAGTATTGTCATCGAATGGGGTAGATTTGAAAATTCATGAACTGAGAGAACATTAGTAATGGTTCTCAACACTTTTGAATTATTTAATTAGAGAAATAAGAGTTTTATATGGATTGTGCCTTCTGTTCACTTGGGCCAGTTGTTAAAATATGAGTTGATCGGGGGGGCCCTGAACTTATGTTCGGGGTCCATTTTCTAAATAATCAAAAAAGGTAAATCCTTCGTGTATATGGGAAATGAATGGGGTAGATTCGGAAATTTATGAATTGAGAGAATATTAGTTATGGTTCTCAACGTTTCTAAATTGTTTAATTAGAGAAATGAGAGGTCTACGCTTCCGAATTATTTAATTCATAGAATGGACGCCAAACATAAGCTTGAGGTCCCTGATTCGCTAATATTTTAACAATTTGCCTAAGTGGCCCAGAAAGGCATAATCCATATATTTCTTAACAAAGTCTTAGACAGATTTCGAATCGACCCCCCTTTGCCAACACAAATACTATCACCAATTGCTGTACTAGAGCTTAAATTCTGGAACCAGTACTTTATTCGTGATCGAATGTGCGTATGGGAAATGAAAGGGATATATTCGAAAATTCATGAACTGAGAGGACCTTAGTTATGGTTCTACAAAAACCATATTTAAGTTTCTCAAGTAAGAGAACATTGGTTATGGTTCTCGATGTTTTCTAAATTATCTAAATAGAAAAATGGGAGATCTACCCTTTCAGATTATTTAATTCAGAAAATGGAACCTAAACATGTGTTGGGGGGCACCCGATTAGCTCATATTTTAACAACTAGCCCAAGTGGCCCAGAAGGCACAATCCATATACTTCTCAACAAAGTCTTAGACAGACCTCGAACCTTTACTTCGTTCTTGATCATTCGTGTGTATGGGAAATGAATAGGGTAGATTCGAAAATTCAGGAACTAAGAGAACCTTAGTTATTGTTCTACAAGAACCATATTTAAGTTTCTCGGTTAAGAGAACCTAGTTATGGTTTCCGATATTTCTAAATTGTTTAATTAGAGAAAAGAGAGGTTTTCGCTTTCGAATTATTTTATTTATAGAATGGAGGCCAGACATATGCCCAAGCCCCCTGATCCGCTCATATTTTAACAACTGACCAAGTGGCCTAGGAAGGTATAATTTATATATCTCTCAACAAAGTCTTAGACAGCCCTGGAGTCGACCCCCCTCCTCCCATTGCCAACACAGATATTGTGCACTCTGTCGGTGTACACAATTTTAAATTATTGTCAAGAAAAAATTTGAATTTTCTTGGTGACGGTAAAGTCGGGAATAGAACAAAAACTAGATCCTCAAAGTTCTCCGATCCCATTTCTCTCACCCCAAGACTTTGGATTCAATATACCCAAAATGCTGAGGACGGTGAAGATGGAGACCGCGAGCAAAAGCAACACCAAGACTAAAAAATACGCTATAAAAAAAGGTAAAACAAAAATGAGGTATCAAGATAAATAAGTATATTTCAGGCATGCACAGTGATATAGGCATATTACTAGCATATTTAATTGCACTTCAGCATATACATCATATTTTCAGCAAAATCCCTACTATATTAAAAGAGTGAATACACCGAGTACCAATCATTTTGAAGCATTTTCGTTGTCCCAAATTGCACCCACCATGCCAAGTACTGTTCATTTTAAAGCATTTTCGTTAGCCCAAATTGCCTCATATTCGTCATCTACTATTTACACCAACTGTCCCATATATGTCTTCTACTATTCATACGTGGGTTAAGGATAATTTGGAAAGGTCATTTTTTAATCAATTTATATGCCTACAATTGTTGACTTTGAATGTTTTTCCCACTTTATCCCCCATTATTAACTGTTCATTTTTGAAACATTTTCCTCAAAATATAAGGGTAATATAGACTTCTTCCTTACCCACAATTGTTGACTAAAAAACAGAGAAGAAAAAAAATCAAAATCGATTGCTCCGCACACTATGGAGCAATGCTCCGAACTGTGCAGAACAAATGCTCCGTAGTGTACGGAGCAATACGGAGACTTGCTCTCCGCACAGGTTTGGAGAGTTTGGACAAACTCTCCAAACAATTTGGAGAGTTTGGACAAACTCTCAGGAGAGTTATTATTATTATTATTTTTTATCCTTCTTACTATACTATACTATACTATATCCCTGTTGATAAATAATGTTCAACGACTCATTATTTCACTTTCTTGTTATTTATGTT